TTTTTGGAAAATTATAAATCATATTGGTTTTTTATTTTACCAATCATAGACATTTTGTTTTATAACATTTATTATGATCAAATAACAGACTAACTGCATTACAATGTGAAATCAAACACTCAGGTTGTCTTTTCTTTTTTCCTTAATGATTTTTTAATGCAACACACACACATATATATATTTTACAGCATATTATTTTTTCTCATTTTTTCCCTATTCATTCATTGTTGCACATTTTTCTCCATGCCCACTCCTCCCCCTCAGTTCATTTTTCTCTTTGAAGAAAAAAAAATTCTTTCATTGTTATACAATTCTCCCACCCCTAGTCCACAGTCCACTTTAATATGAATTGTTTTTCTGGAACCTTGTCATGAAAATAATGCTAATCCTATATTCCTTTTAAATAGTTCTCCCCTCATCTGTTTCAATGCAGCATACATTATTTATCCCCTCTTTTCTTAGGTTCACTCCAATCCTCATGTCAGTCTCGTTTTACAACAGTGGCACTATGGAATATTTGTCCTTTTGTGACTGATTCCTGGATTATTTAATATTATTCCCAAAGCATCCTTAAGTATTGCAGCTGGAGGTTTGAATTTGTTCGTAGTTCCTTCAGCTTAAGAAATGCCTAGTGATTTCAGTCCTTTTCATTTTCTGACTCCAGTTCTTTGCATATTTCATTATAATGTTTTTGCTTTGTCTACCTGTGCGCCCTTTGAAATCTTCACTTCAGCTCCTTCACTTCTTGATTTCTTCCCTTTGCTTTGGTTTATTGGCCAAATGGTGAAGTCCATGTATATAATCTGTATTTGTGTTTCTTATAAAAGGCATTTGCAATTAATAAATCATTGATTGTACAGAATTCTATCATCCTATCTCCAGCCTCATTTCCATGTTTGCTGACTACTGATCCTGCTTTTTTGTACCCAATTTTTGCATTCTAGTTCCGTAAATAGCTTGCCTCCAGAAACCCTATGAACCTGGAGAAAGGATGAAAGTCACACAAGGGTTGAGGACTTGTTCATAGGGTCACAATGAGTCACCTACGACTCGACGGCACTTAACAACAACAGCAGTCCCATTTATAAATAATACATGTTGATTCCACATTCTATCAATTCTATCTATTTCTGACTGGAAAAGGTGGTAGAAATTACCTATTTCCTCCTGTTTGGCTCTGGTTGTTGGTGTACATATTTGAATGATAGCGATATTCACTTCACTTCCTTGTATGTATATGGATATTATCCTGTCACTCACTGCAATGTATTTCAAGATGGATCTAGAGATCTATTTTAATATGAAAACAACCCCATTTTCCCTCATCTTTTCATTTCTGGCATAGTAAATCATATGATTGTCTCATTCAATATGTCCCATGCCAGTCCATCTCATTTTTCCAATACCTTGTTATTGTTGTTGTTATGTGCTGTTGAGTCACCTGAGACTCATAGTGATCCTGTGTACAATAGCCCTCAGTCTTGCTCCGTTGTCTCTGACACACCTACCCTCATTTCCCCAGTAATTGAAACAATCCATCTCGTCGAGGGTCTTCCTCTCTTGCACTGTTCCTCCCATGATGTCCCTCTCCAAGGACTGGTGCCTCCTTGAAATATGTCTAAAGTATGTTAGCCGAAGCTTCAAAATTCTTACCTCCAAGGAACAGCCTGTTTCCTCTCTAGGACAAACCTGTTTGTTCTTTAGCAATCCGTGGTATATTCAATACCCTTCTCTAGAACCACAGCTCAAAGGCATCAGTTCTTCTTCTATCGTCCCTAGTCATCGTCCAGCTCTCTGATGCATAGCCATTATTTGCAAAGACCAACACCTGTATCCCTAGTCTGGGGACAGATCCCCAGAAAGACAGCATGGGCTGCTTCCATCACATAACAAGAGGAACCAGAAAAGCAGGAGCCACACAGTCAGAGACCTCATCAAAATTAAATACATCCTAACAAAACAGCTTGATAATGGTTGGGAGAAGATGTCTTTGAGAAAGAAACGAAAGGATAAATGGCAAAAGGGGAAGAAAAAATATGAGATACTCAGATATGAGTATCATCCGTAGTCATTGTTCAGCTCTCTGATGCATAGCCATTATTTGCAAAGGCCAAGGCCTGTATCAGGCACACCTTAGTTTCCAGACTAACATCATTCCTTTAATTTGTGCATTCCATTTCTTTCTTAACAATGCCCAATTCTCCTACATTCTTGCTTCTTATATTCCACGTTCTAATCACTAGTGTGTGCTTGCAACTGTTCCTCTTCCTTTGTGTTTCCATATTTGAGAGTTCATCCTCAGTTGGTATATCAGCTAGTCTACTCTAATTGTGTTCTATTGTACACAGAGTTTCAAAGTCCTGTTATTTTTGGAAGTGGATAGCCACTCCTTCTTCCTAGTCTGTCTTAATTTAAATGTTCATCTTTTGAACTGTATCTGACAGATAAGCATTTTATGGAAAGGAGTAGATGAAAGACATTTCCTAGTTACAGAAGTAAACAATAGATTCAGTATCATTTCACCACCTTTAGCACGTATATCTTTTCCCATCCATTTCCCCACTCCACCAGTATCTCCTTCTACTCCCTTCTACCCCATTCAACACCTCCTGCCCCTATTCAACCCTTGATATGATGGCTTAGGTCTCAAGCCTTCTGTGCTTCTCAAATGTAGCTGCCAGTCTCTAACACTGCAACCAGTCTTTCTTGAGTTTAGGAGTCTCTAAGTCCGAATTCCAGGTACTAGTTTTAGGGAAGGGTTTCTATCTCAGATAGTTCTAAAGAAAAGTCCTTTGCCCTGAGCTTCTGCTCCAGGACTTATTTCTAGTGACTTAGTGTCTCTTCTCTTTCATTTGCAGCATGCTGCTGTCACAGTAGGATAATTCCCTAGGAGAGGGTGTTTGGTCCTCTAGATCTGATAAACAAGTATTGTTTTCTTGACCTGAGGGCCACAGTCCCAATGGCCCAAAACTAGTTTTACACACAGTCCCTGCCTTGATGGAATTATGGGAGGATGGACATGACCTGATTTAAGAAGGGCAAAAGGTCCATACAGATCTTCTGCTGCTGCCAGAGCCCAAAATCATCTAGTTTTACTCGCAGGCCCTCTCTTGGCAGAATCCTGGAAGTATAGGTATAACGTGATTTAGGGAAGGCAAAAGGTGCACACAGATCTTCTTCCACCAACAGAGCCCAGGATCTAGTTTTACACTCCTCAGTAATTTGGAGAGGTTCCTAACTGCAGACTTTCCCCAGTGTAATGTGTCTCCTGATACCCTGTCTGCTGGTACCAAGGGTGCTAGTTGTGGATCCAAATAAGATGAAGTTGTTGACAGTTTCAGCTTTTTCTACATCTATTATGATGTTGCCTTTTAGTGCAGTGGTAAGAGTCTTTGTTTTCTTGACATTGAGATGCGATCTGTATTGAAGGGTGTATTCAATGGCACATAACAATAATATACTATGACAGGTTTTGAAAGCAGGAGTTGCATCCCCTTCCTAAATAACATGCCTCAGGAAATCTATGAACTTTTATAAATGTCCATAGCTATAGAGTGGTTTCAGGCCTTTCGTTCATTGAGTTGTGCTCAACTCAAAGGCAATCAGCAACAACAATTTTTTTTTATCTTCTGCAACAAATGCTTCAAGTCCTCCTCACTTTGGTAAGCAATTTTGTATCATTTACATAAAACATAAATTCATACATCAAATCTGTGATGGTAATAAAATGGAAAAAAGAGTTATTTAGATATGCCTGACTCTACAGCTTTCCTAGGCTAGCTAATCCTACACACTAACAGATACGTCCCATCCTAATAGTCTTTGTGGTGTTAGCTTAAAAGTTGGCGCTTCTTTAAAGCCATTACAATAAGGTCTCTCTGGTCTCTGACAACTTTAACTGTAGGTACATTGTCTTGCAAATCATCAGCATCTGTGGAACTTGGATAAGAGAAAAAGTGCTTCCCTCAGTGAGTAGCAAGACTTCAAGTGAGCAAGTCTTGTGACAACAAGACCCTGGTGGTGGAAAGACTGTGGCATTATTGTGAATAAAGAGTGGCAAGGTATGATCTGAGGCTTCTTGTATTTGTGCAGGCCATAGTTAGAGGTTTAACTGTTCTTGCCAGATGTTTGATGGAGAAGCTGACTTCTAACTGCTTTGAGGGAAACCTTGCTAGATGATTTGGTTACAACTACTCTAAGGTAAACCTTTCTGGATAATTTGGATTTGACTGCTGAACGAAGAGCATAGACTTATTGAGGAATTGTGTTTAGGAACTGTGGGGCTAAACCCTTGACTTTTATTTTGAGATATTCTTTGTCTCCCTCCCTCATTGTTGGACCATAACTGTGAGTCAGCAAAGAATAAGCAAATCTCTTGCTTCTGGTGAGGCTCTGCAAGCACCATGAGGCTGGGTCATGGGCCGTTTATCTGCTTTCTACTCTGGAGCAGTGAGGGGCTGTGCTATTCTTATTCCCTCTGGCCCTATCAGACAGATGACCATGGCCCTATGCCTCCATGGCCCATTTTATCCTCTTTAGACAGTCAGATTGAACTTGAACCCCCAATTGTCTACTACAGGAAACCATCTGTCTAATATTCCTGAACCTAACTTGCTAAATCAGTACTCTCTTGAAAGCCAAATGGAAAAAAGAGCCAGAGGAGGAGAACATGCTCAGTTCAAATACTGAGGTATTCAGGCTTCTATGCTCCAGAATCTCTACTGGCCATTATCAATGTCTCAGCTTCTTTCACCTTCTTGTTCTTTATACTTTCTTTTTGTTTAAGACTTAGCAGCTGTCAGTAAAAATGTGGTAACAGTATTGTTCTCACCTAACCTAAACCAGAGAAATTTAACAAACCCCCTTATGTGATCACATCTAACTAAGCAAGCAGAACAAAGATATATGTGTATGTGGTTTGAAGTCACTGGGTATGGCCCTCTTCATCACACTGTGGGATTTTGTGTCTAGACATGATCAGCTCTATTGTGTGAAACCTGCTTCAGAAGATGCAGTCACTCCTACCCCTGCTGGCCTTTCTGTTGTTGCCTGGAGCTGAAGCAGGTGAGTTACCCTCTGCACCCCAAAAACCTGAGCCTATCTCACTAAATCTCCTATACTCCTGGTCCTCTTGCTCAGTGCTAGTCAGGAATTTTCTTCGTCTGACCCAGAAACCTAGACAAACTTCCATATCAAACCCAGATTAAGCAGTTGGATATTGGATAAACACTCTGCAAGGATGACTAGACTCTGGTAGGTGTAAGCTTCCACCTGGGTGTTTGTTGAATATTTGTGGTTAAAACAGATAACAACAAGACTGTTACCACGTAAAAGCTTAGTTATCCTCCCTTTTGCTTCACTTTATCACCCAGAAAGCTGATTGTACTTGGCAGAAGATATTAAGGTTGTATTAAATTCCCTTAATTCATCCCAGAAAACAAAACAACAATGATTCTTTGCTATTGAGTCAGAAACAATTTATATCTGCCTCTTCAGCACATTTTAACAAGCTGTAAATCACAAAGGAAGAAATGTTCCATCTTTCTCCTTTGAAGCAGCTCATGGATTCAAACCAAGTGTCTCTGGATTGGCAGCCCAACTTCTTACCTACTAAGCCTCCAGAACTCCCTCATCCCTGGAAAGTACAATTGAAACTCATGAGGCTGGGGTGTTGTTGCTATTTTTGCTACTGTTGAGATGGTTTTGCTCATGGTGACCCTAGAATGAAACACTGCCGGGCCTTGTGTCATCCTCATCATTGCTGCCATGACTGACCTCATTGTCAGGGTAAAACTCAAAGATGTTGTGTACTTGGAAGTAACTCAGAGCTGATCCTCCAGTGAATTTCCTGAGCTGTAAATTGGTACAGGAGAAGAGTCCTCATCTTTCTCTCAAGACGTCACTTGTAGATCAAACTGCCACAGTGTGACCAGTGGGTTAGTAGCACAACTCCTTACAGACCATGTCTCCAGCTCTTACCTTTGTTAGTGTTGTTGTCAGAGTTGTTCTTATTGTTATGTGCTGGAACTGCTATGTTATGAGTTGGAACTGCTGAGAGGTTTTTAAAGGCAGTAAGAATTGACTGCCCATCTTTCACTGTTCTTGCCTCCAAAGAGCTCTCTGGCTATATATTGTCCAAAACATTTTTTTTGTCCTTTTGATGATCCATGGGCTATTCCACCCTCTTCTCCAACACCACAATTCAAAGGCATCACACAATGTTAAAACTATTCCTCCATGACCTCCACTCCTTTCTCTAGGCTAAGTTGCTCACTTGTAACCAGAACAAAAGCTCAAATTGCAATTGATCTCAGGGATAAAATGATCTCAAAGAACTTGTATTGCCTGGAAATCTTAAAGGTATCTTTTCTACTTCCTCTGCCTTGCTCCACTCTCTTTGCAGCAAACTTCCTAACATTCATTTGGCCTTGAATTCTACAAGCACAACCCATACCAAACCTTATTCAAAGGATTAATGTGAGCTATTCATTCATACAACCATAAACATATTTGCCAAGGATCTACTATATTTTGGGCTCTGAAAGACATACAAATTTTAAAAATATGATTCTCTATAGTTGCTTAGTCATACAAACTTAAAAGGGTTTTCTGAAGACCTATTATGTAGTAAATAAAGTCATGTTGTTTGAATTTACCAGGTGTTCCATGGGAGAAAGATGGGCAATCTTCTCCCATGTGATTTACCACATCTGAAAACCTTCTGGAAGGCCATCTATGGGAAATGGTACACAACAACATTATGTATTGGGCTCTGAGAAGCATCAGAATTTTAAAGACCTACCTCTATAGTCAGTCATATCACCACAGGCCTCACCTGTGGTCCTATAAAGGGTGTCTTGTGCCTTGATATTTGTATCTCTGGTTGTGTTTACAGTTTGCTTTTAAAGGTACAGGACCTATCTGTCAGTTAAGTTACTGGGGAATGATTTGCATATTGCCAACTTATATCTTAGATGTGTTTAAGCTTGGGTATTATTATTTGTTTCTATTAGTCTGTCTATCTGTTTTGTTTTTTGCGTCAGAGAGACAGACTAATAGAAGCAAATCATTAATCCCAACATAATGAAATACAATCAGTTGATGTGTTTGGAATCACAGAAGCCATGGAAGCCTCATATA